AAACGTTGCATCACCAGCGCCTGAGAGGACATGCTAACGAACTCCCTCAAAAACCAAACTGGCGCTGCGCCGAAACAAGATATCGCCAAACCATGGCTGGGGGAGGGGGAAGAGGTCTACGTGCATTGTCTTCTCAAGGTAGGGGGCGCAAACGCTTCCCCTTCAACGATACGCTAGGAAGAGTGCGACATGATAGCGACCCGACGAGTCCTGTACATATCTGGCCACATGGCAATTCTGGCCATGCGATGGTAAGGAAGCCCGCATTACGAGCGCTCGCGGCATTCCTTGAATTACAGTCGTACATGCATGTCGTTTCGCCACTTGCCGAAAAGACGCTACCGCTCTATGCGGGAGCGCCAGGCACGAGAGCCAGTGCAAGCGTTTCGGGAGTAGCTGTCGATGAGGCTCTGTGCTTGCGCTGATTTCTACCAGGTCTCGATCGGCAGTCTTCATTTGTATACGCAGTCCTGCCCCCCGCAGGGCGGCAACGGCCCGCCTGCATTTGGGAGCCTGCATTCGAAGCATGCGCAACAGGGGTGTGCATAAGAGTGTCTTGCGGCCACATGGGTCCGCACTCCCTGGGGCGGCAGTCGGAACCCCCGCACGGGGCACGAAATGTGTGAGGCGTATGCCGAAACGGACGCGGCGGCCAGCCGCATGCGCCAGTGCCCAAGAGGGCTGCAGCTGGGGCGCCCCGTGGAGTGCGAAACGTGTGACGGGTACGCTGATGCGGAGGCGGCGGCTACATGCACCCGTGCCCACTGGGGAGGTAGTTGGGGCTGGCAATCAGGGCAAAAGGGATGCGGGAGGAGCTGATTCAAACGAAAACCCGACTCCAAAGACGGGTTGATAGTTAATGAGAAACCACGTGATATGATTCGGAACCATGTACGGCACACAGCCACATCACCGCACCAATACCGCAATACGACCAGATCATCACCATAACAAGTTTCCCCCTGCCACTGCAGCCGCGTGAAAAATCAGCCGTACTGACAGGAAACGTCACCAATGAGAACAACAAGAAGCCCTGCTGCAGCGTGTTACGGACAAGTGACATGCACTTGACATCGAGCAGAAGAATGACACCGCAAAGGAACGAATATCAGCGGTGGATGGCGATACGAGTGATGGTAGACAAGACTCAGACACTGAACATTACCTGCCATCCTGGCAGGAGGGGCACCCGCAAGCGGGACACCACAGCATGCAAGCTGGCCGCTGAGGCTCGGTTGCGGCCCTCTGAGAAGCTCACTCCGCCATGACATCCGACTCGTCGGCCTGCCCAAGCCCATTGGGTGCAATCCGCCCTCTCGAAGCGTACTGCTAACGACGCGAACCAGATTTCCGAGAGCGGCGTTGCAACGACACACTGGCTGCCACAGAGGCTATCTATCCATGAACCCGCACCCTGCGTGCCAAAAGGTGGCAACGCGCAGGTCCGGCTGGCCCGGCCGATGCCGGTGAACCGAATGGAATCGAATCGAAGCGGAATCGCGCCCCCGGCCGGCGGTTCGAATCGCACCGAATCGCATCGAATCGGATCGCAGGCGGCCCTCTGGTCGGGCTCGGCGCCACGCTCGTCGCAACAGCGTGCGGTCGGCCGCGGAGCGGTCGAGCTGCGGCGGGGTTGTAGTGCCTGGCGGCGAGCTGCGGAGCGCAGGCTGCGGCCAGCCGCGGGGGCCTCTCCGAGCCCTGTCGGGCTCCGACCCCCGCACGCTTCGGTCGTCGGGCACGCGCCGTCTCGGAGCCCCCCGGCACTGCGGGGGCCCTCGCGCCCAGGGCCCGATCTGTGCATAATACCCCGGGGCAACATCAGTCAGCATCGGATCGGAACGTGCGTCGGGTCGGGTTGCACCGGCAC